GAACTGCCTCTGGTGGTGTGTTTGTTGTTGTCTCAGTCCATCGCTGTCCCTGAATGCCAGTCTCAAAATGCTGTCTCTGGCATTCTTCCAGGACACATGTTGACACGAAGTCCACATGAAGCTCACTCTCTGGCACCCCCTGCAGGCTGTACAATATATGGTCAAAATCACTGGACAAACTTCCCAACAGGATGTATGCCTTTTGTTCTCCTGGGATGACTATTCCTTTGGACTCCACCTCCAGGAACAAATGTTTCATTGTGGCCAGATGCTCCTCTGGGGACTGACCCTTCTGCATCAGTCAATACACCAACCCACATGTGTGTCCTGAGGCTTCTGCCTTATATAACCATGCCTCCACATGACACTCTGGCCCTGCGTCTTCCTCTTGGACACCTGTCACTCACCTGAGTGACTTTGCAGTTTTGCAGAAGTACTGGGTGCTTTACAGCACCAGGTGACCATCCCCATGATGTCATATCCTGTGACACAGCATGAGTGTGCATGACACAGCAGTGACCAAATGCTGTGTCATCATGGCTGCTGCTATTCCCCACATTGTACATTTTACCCCTGGGACTTCATCTTAATGCAGGGATTATAAATACAAATCAGTTATGCATATGTAACTCTCGGTTATGCATTTCTAACTGCAATTGTGAATTCCAGCCTTTGCTACATTTTTCAGTTCTTGATTCTGAAATCTAGGAATTAAATTACATTGGCATGAGAGGATGAACTTCCATTTCAGACTTTCAAACACAGAGATAGATTGAGCAAAGAACAGATGTACTATTGACAGAGCTGAAAAGTTACTAAATTTTTGGACTATAATTTGCAGAATCACACAGTCAGTTTGGTATTGATTATATTGGCTATGTGATTCCAGCAGCTGCAGTTGAAAAAGTAGCTTTCCAAAGCCCTTTCTACAGAATCATACTACATCTTGATACAATATGTTCATTTTCTCTTCCTAAACTGAAGAGAAACCATTGTTCACTTGTTTTTTGCTGATTGCATTTTATTTTTTGGATTGTAAGCCAGAGGGCAGGGAACCATCTAATTAACCACTTGTAAGCCACTCTGAGAGGCTTTGTGGCTGAAGAGGAGGGTATAAATACTCCAAATAAATGTGTGTCTCTCTTCCACTTGCCTCAAACACACACCCTTCTGCCTAAGTTCTTTCCCCTCAGAACTGCCATACTATATTGGATTGCTCCATTGTTTTGGTGAGTTGTGTTGAAAAAGTAATACCAGCATACTCAGTAATCAGTTTTGTGTCCTCAGCAAGTGTTAAGTGAAACAGCTTAAGGACAGAATCAAATTACCAAAATATTTTAGTAATATTATTCCACTTTACAAGACTGAGAGAGGATTTCCCAGCTGAGAATCTACTACGAGATAACATCCAGGACAAATTAGATTCAGAGCTTGGGAAATTACTATTAGGGACAAATACTACTGTATAATGATATGCTATATCAGCTTTAAACTGAGCAGTGATAGGATGATATTGAGTAATTACATTTGTAGCTCCCATATGTGCATTCAAGTTGCCTGTCTACTTATGGCAATCCTATGAATTTTCATAGGGTCTTCTTAGGCAAGGAATAATGATAATGTGTTTTGTCAGTTCCTTCTTCTGAAATATAGCACCTGTTAAGGGTTAGGGTTAGCACCCAAGTACTAACCAGGGCTGACCATGCTTAGATACCAAGATCAGATGGGATCTGGTGCCTTTAGGGTATTTAGACCTATATTTAATTTTACCTTCTAGTAAGTCCTATAGGAGGTAATGTGTGTTGTCTCAGTAGATCTGTGCCTGTTTGTATTTTAAAAAGTTTCAAAAGGCTAGGACTCATTGAAAAAGAAGCATTTAAATGTGAATTGGGGAAATAAAAATAAAATAATAAAAGGGATTTCATTAGGCTACTAAAAGGTACACTATGGACATCATGATGAATTGCAGAGAGGAGTGGGCAACAGGGATAGAAGCATATCCTTAGAGTTATCATACAGGATTATTCACTTCCCTAACTACTCCCACTTTAAGAGAACTGATACAAAGAGCATATGATCTAGAAGCTAGAAAAGGGAACTGTTGATATGTAATGTGAATAGCAAGATCGATTTAACACAGAACAGGGTGGCTGTTTTTGGGTCACCCCCCAAAAAAGTTGCTGAAGCATTCACAATTATGGGAAGTATATAGCTCTGTTTGGATATACACCCTCTGTCTGTGGCATCTCTCACTTGATTCACCTCATGGCTTGGTAGGACCTTATCTGTTCTGACCCCAGCTCTGCTTCCAAGATCTTACATTTGTACATTCCGTATCTGCTTTTGTTTGCTGAACTGTTTGTTGGCAGTGTGTGACTGCCCTTGGCTCTGATTGCTAAACCAAAAGGTATAACTATATGATATATTGTGAAGAGATGATGATGATGATGATGACTTTTACTATTTTCTTTTTCCCATTTTAGGATGCAAAGCAACTTACAACAGATTAAAAAAATAGTTAAAATTCACAAAATGCAAAAATTAAAACATTTAAAAATTAAATCAGTTGAACAGCAACCATTTAAAGAAAGCCCCCCCCCTCCACACACACACACCAGCATAACAATTAGGGATATCTCATATCTTGTATAAGACAGGTCTTATATAGTCACTCATCCAATGCCTATCAGAATAGAAAAGTCTTGTTTACAAAAGGAAAGTAGAGAAATTGCCAGTTTAACCTCTCTGGAAAGGCCCTCTCATGTTCCAATCCAGATGTACCTTTGAGGGTGGAGGGATAGAGAGAAGTCCCTTTGCCACAAGATCTCAAAGCACAGACATGATTGTAAGTAGAATATGGTCCTTCAAACAACCTGGATACCCTGGTCTCCTACCCAGGTTGGCCACACAGTTCCAACCCTTGGGCATCTATCTTGTCTTTTTACCCCCTGGATCTGGTACTGAAATGTCAAGGTGGCCACTGTACTGGACAAGTGGATGTGTTCATCAGTGGATTCATTGTGGTAAAGTGTGACTGTATTCTCCTTGTTGTTGTTGTTGTTGTTGTTTTGTGCCTTCAAGTCATTTCTGACTTATGATGACTATAAGGAAAACTTATCGTGGGGGTTTTATGGGAGGTTTGCCATTACCCTCTCTTCCTGAGGCTGAGAGCATGTGACTTGCCCAAGGTCATAGAATCATAGAATCATAGAATCATAGAATCATAGAGTTG